GACGCTAAGGTGCCACACCAACGTATCGGCGAGTTTTCAGCGAGCGATGTCGTACACCTCGAGCAAGCCCGCCAACCACCACTGTTGCCAGCGAACCTAGAGCAGTACAGCGAGTGAACGCGGGTCCACCGCAACGAACGGCGCTGATCTCCTTGTGGGCGAGAAACGGGAACCAACTGTAAGCGTAACTTATTTACGCAAAGTTACTATAGCGAGCGTCAGTAGAGTGAGTGATTGCGGAACCTACTTAGAACACGCGCCATCGTGACGACCTACGACGTCAAACTAACGTCAGACATTTTGGCTATCTGTGAAGTCATCGCATGGTGATGAATGTTAGCCATAGGCATGAGCTTGAGAGGGTCTGTGGGGCGCAGTGTCAGCCTTGTACATCGGCATAAGGAGGGGGGCACTGCGACGAACCATCGCGCCTTTTCCTTCCCCCCTGTAGGGAAATCCTGCGCACGCCTGTGTTGGTAGTATCACTCGTGTTGCAGACCTCCTGTACACCGGCATTTTTGATCACTTTTCGCGCTTTTGAGGCTGCCGATGCTTTTGCCTAACTACAGTTGCTTAGAAGACCATTGAACACAACGCTCGATGCATGCAAAAAACTTGAAATATTGGTGCCCATAGCGTTTCGTGTTACAGTTCGCAGCACCGTTGCCGCATAAGTTAGAATAGGCGGATCCAAATGTACACAGTGGCGCGGCGCTGTGAATGGTTCGAGCCGATTAACGGCAAATGAAGCGCATTGACTGCAGTCCAAAAGGGGTACATGAGTGCTTCAATGCGACGATAAGGCTCCTATTTAGGGTGTGAGAAGCACGATCCACCGAACAATGCCGTCTTTGCCATCGATGGCCATCGCGTTTTTGCATCGTGCTTGGAGATGTTCTTCTTTTCTTTACACGTGTTTAACTAATTTTTGCCTAGCGCTGCTAAGACAATAAAATATTTACTTGCTGCCCTTTCGGCATAATTCTTCGAATAGAACTTTGTGCACACTGATTTTCCATTTGCATGAATACATGTACCGCTACAGTGGTGTGCGATTTGAGGTCTTCTTTACCGCTAACCGGTATTTGCAGACGCTGGTTTATGTTTTGTGGTATTACAAAGTTTTTGAAATTTACAACTCTTCAGGAAATGGTTTCTTGTAAATTCTGCATTAAGTCCCCTTATTTAGTGTCTCTTCGTTCAGGACGACGCCAAATGCACAAATGGTGTGCTCGAACGACAAGGTGGTACCCAAACTGAAATAACTTTGGTGACTGGACTCACGATGGTTACACCTATAACTATAGAAACACTTGTACGCACTCATTTCTTGTTCGTTGTTCGTACAAACATCTGAAACAGAAATACTTGATTGCGTAGGAGGTACTTCTATAATTATTTGTGACTGTGCTATCACAATAAAATAAGCTGCCCTCAGAGCATTTCACTGACTTTCGCACGCGTGCATATAGGTTGTGGCTACCAGACGGCCCAAGAAACAATTCAAACTACGCAGTCTTGTCCGCTTGCCGTTAGGTGCCGACTCTGTTCAATCTCGAGACCCATACTTAAAGTGCCTTCGTCAATTTGCTCATTAGTGTTTATAGAACATTACCTCTAAAAATTGTGATATTGGCAGCTGTATCCTACTGGTGTGTACTTTGAAGACACAGCTTGCGAAATTGCCGAAGACGATGACACAGGATCTCCGAAATTACCGGGATGGTTGTATTCATGTTTATAATACTACTACTACTGCTACTTCAAATAGTGATAATAATAGCAATATTAATAGTGATACCAATATTTCTTTTTGACGTCCTAAAACCACGATATCCATCGTCAGATTTAGATAGAAGTGGAATGCGAGCCACCTGTGTACGTAGCCTTGTCAATGGATGTTAAAAAAAACCAGATGGTCGCACCATCTGAAAACCTTCACCGTGGCATGTGTACTCATACAACAAACTTGGCACGTAAAAACCGATGTATTATCATTAATAATAATCCCCCTAAAGGCATAAGCATGCGTAGGGTTTTCATTAAGGACAAGTGGGGGGTGGGTGCGAAGGTTTCTCGCAGTGCCCCTTCCTCCCTATCATGTAAATTTATGGGGCTGACTTCGCGCCCTCCAGGCCCCCTTTCTCCATAATGTCGATACATGGGGTGACTTCACGCCTCTCCTGTCACGCCATGTGTGTTACGCATGCGCGTTCCGACGATTCCTGGGCAGATACAGATTGTCCATCTGCAGTGGAACATACCCACATTCCAGCGGCATTTACCCGTCCTCGGGGATGTCCCACTGTCTGGCGTGAAGTGTTTGATGACGTATGTCACGGAATCGTGACACTATTTGTCTCTTGACCAGTGTGTCATATTTCTCAAACCATCTTACTCTGCCATACTAATTTTGATTCGCGCCAAACTGGGGGATTGATCACGAGAGCAGCCAGCCGTAAGCGGCTACATAGATAGATAGATAGATAGATAGATAGATAGATAAATAGATAGATAGATAGATAGATAGATGCCAAAAAAGCATGTAATTATTTTCAAGCATATTGAAAAGAAAAGGCTTACTTCGGCAGAACTTGCGAGCACCGAATTCAATTACGCTTAATTTTAATTGCTCAGGAAAGATTTCCCCGGTTTCATGTGGGATAACAGTTCACGTATTTGCTTCGCTAGAAACGCATGCAAAAACGTACCTCATATTGGGACATGATTGAATCAGCATATTTTTGGTATAACATAGGCCCATTGGTTGCAAGAGCCATGAAATAGTGCGGTGTTCAACTGGTCATTTACTGTTGAGATCGGCCAGACTGACGCTGGAGAGTATTATTATTATTATTATTATTATTATTATTATTATTATTATTATTATTATTATTATTATTATTACTATTAATATTATTATTATTATTATTATTATTATTATTATTATTATTATTATTATTATTATTATTATTATTATTATTATTATTTGATATGCATAGACAGATACACAAGGACAAAGAGGAAAGAGGGAGAGAGCAAGCTGGCAACTGCCACCTGGAGGGGCACAACGCCTGCTCACTCTTTCGGGAGGAGCGAACAAACAGAGGAAACAAACATTAGATAGAAAAAAGGAAAGAAGATGACGAAAGGAAACAAAATTGCGAAGTCTTTGGCGAGTATGAGTAGAAACATAAATAAAAATGATGAAAAAGAAAAAAAGAAAAAAGGAAAAAAAGACAGTCTATAAATGGGTGGTCTGGTCCATTTGGTTCATAATTGTAAGGAGAGCTTGGTGGGCCTGGTCGCGTCGGGAAGCACTACCACTCCGAAAGAGATAGTCGTCTAAAGTCGCACACTTAAGTCCTAGGAATTTATATTCCTTAATCAACAAAGACCGCTGCGTAGCAAATGTGGGACAGTGCACTACGATATGCTCAAGTGTTTCGCAGGAGCCACAAGCTGCACACAACGGGCAGTCCACACGCCCTTGACGGTGTAATCTTCACGCACCAGCACAGAGCCCACTCCTAGTTAGTACAACAGCGCTCGGGAACTACGAGGCAAGCCACGCCACGAACACGGGGAGGGAACGGTCCACTCGCCACGCGCTGGTCTGGGTGCTGCTTTAGGAGATGTCGGCGTATAAGCAGATGAGCGTTGTCTATCGTACATAGAATTCCCGGACAGTCACAACCATCATGGTTGCATGACGACGCAAGGCAAACCACTTCTTCTTTGACCGCAATACCCACGTGCGAAGGTACCCACTGTGCAGCTAGGCATACCCCACGTGACAGAATGTTGTTAATGGATTCCATGATGCTGCTCAGAATTGGGCTGTCGGTCTCCTTGCTGGTGAGTCTGCTAAGGGCACCACGAGAGTCGGTGAGTACGACAACCTTCGATGCTGGTAACCCTCCTTGTGCGTACTTAAGGGCGGCATCAATCGTTGCTAGCTCGGGGTGTGGTATTTTAAACAACCGCCTGATATCGGTTGAAGGGCAGAAGAAAGCTGCAGAAGCGTTCAGGCCATCTGAAGCCTTAGAAAAAGCAGTCATTTGAAGTATAAACTTGCTTCGAAGGTACAAAAAAAAGAAAATACGACATAATCTCGCATGCGAGTAATGTTTGTTTTTGAAATGCTTAGCACGTGTGCAGTAACAACCAACTAGTCTCTAAGTATTACGTCAACAGGGAGGCTCACTTTATGAATATAATATTGGTCTTGATATCTTCATCTTCCATTTATGTTCGTTGCGTAGTTGTGGAAACAGCAGATTCAGTAATCATCACATTTTGTTGGTTGTGCTTCAGAGGGCGAGGCGAACGAACCGCGGGCGTGTGTGTTCCAGCGAACTTCGTTCTCGAATGCTTAGCGTTTCCAGCACGAAAGACAGATGGGTATCTGGAGCCTCCCCTTTCAGTCGGGTATACACCTAATATCAAGTAGGTCTTCATTGCATATCTTGACAACTGTAGCGTTTTCCCTGCACAGTTGTAATTGTGAAGAGTGCTTTGATCACCGTCACGCTTCGTCAGGACTTTGAAATTTCTGTTACAACATTCAGGTGGTTTGAGTACTGCGCGACACCATAGGAATGGCACTTTACGTGTGAGCTAGCCTCCTAGGAAAAATAAGCAATTTATCTTTTGTTCAGCTCGCATAGTGAAGCACAATCTCTAAAATTAGGAAACAATATGGGAGATAATGAGCAGATAAACTTTATTTGCTCATTGCATCTAGATGGAAGTAGATGCTCATAACTTGTGCTCTTGATGCTCAAATAAGTTACAGCTTGGAGGTTTCTGTAAAAAGAAGAAAAAACAATCATGTTAGGCACAACCACAAGACCTACAAAATCGGGTCGAAACTCTAACATTTGTTTTTTTTAAAGCCAACGATGTCTGCTGCCATTCTGTATGAGCACATGTTGTTTCGATGCTATCAGCTTAGCGATTGTGCAAGAAAAAACATTTCCCTTGGAGGTGAAATGTAATCAAGATATATGAAACTCCCTCCTAAGCAATGTACATTCTCTATACTCACACTTCCTCTTGCGGAGAAGATCGCCGTAGTAGAAGGGAGAGCCCAGACCATAGCTGTAGTTCAGACCGTAGCCGAGCAGACCGTGGCCGTAGGCGTAGTCGCCAGTGCCGTAGCCGAGGGTGCCAACACCGTATCTGTAGACTGGGGTGGCATGGTAGGCAGCGACAGCTGGGGCAGCGTGAGCAACGGTGGCCACAGCTGGGGCATGGTGGACGGTAGTCGTGGCAACAGCTGGAGCGGCGTGGACGGCAGTGACAGCTGGCGCGGCGGCATAGGTGGCAACTGGGGTGGTAACAGCGGCGGCGACTGGTGCGTGGGCTACAGAAGCGAACGCTGGGGTAGCATCATAAGTGGCAACTGGAGCGTGAGCCACGGTGGTGACAGCTGGGGCATGGTAGGTGGTAGCGACCTTGGTCACTGTGGGAGCAGCAGCGTATGTAGTGACTGGGGCAGCAGCGTAGGTGGCCACTGGCGCGTGGGCCACGGTGGCAACCTTGGTCACAGCTGGAGCAGCGGCGTAGGTAGCGACTGGGGCAACAGCATAGGTGGCCACTGGAGCGTGAGCCAAGGTATCGACCTTGGTGAAAGTTGGAGCAGCAGCGACAACTGGGGCAGCGGTATAGGTTGCGGCCACCCTGGTCACAGCTGGAGCAGCGGCAACAACTGGAGCAGCAGTGTAAGTGACGGCTGGGGCAGCGTGAGAGAAAGTGTGCACAGCTGGAGCATAGGCGGCGTAGCCGAAACCATTGCCGTATCCGAGACCGCTGTATCCAAGACCGCCGTAGCCGAGACTATAGCCGGTGTAGCCAGCGAGAGCGCTGGTGGCTAGAGCCAAGAGGACGCAAGCACGGATCTGCAATGATTTACAAAATACCTTGTCAACAGCATCTTCTTAATTTTCGAAGCTATACCTGCGACAATATACTAGTATTGTGGAAGCAGAAATGCTAATTCCCTGTGCGAGTTTCGTTAGTTCATTCAAACCTAGCTAAATAGAAAAGAAACTTTATGACGGAAAATCGGTGGACTTTTATGTTTCACGCTCAATTAATTTGGTTAGAAGAGGTCACACGAAAACTGTGCTTCAAGGCAGTGTTCAAGCAGTTTATCACATTGGCCCTCTGTTACGTCGTGGTTTTCATTTTCCTCTGTTCAATCAAGAAACAATTTTTTACATAGGCAAGAGAAATGTTTAGATTAGTATTTCATTGAGAATGCTAAGCATGAACGAGTAATAATTTGCAGTTTTTGCTCAACTGATATTACACCACAGAGAGGCTCTTTACCCACAAGTTTCGTTAGCAGTTTGTGTTCATCTAGTGAGGGCGGTGAAGAAAAGGATTCTTACCATGGTGACTTAAGAGCTGAAGTTGAGCCAACAACCAAATGTCTGGAGTTGAGCGTTCCCTTTTATACGAAAATGTCTTCGTTCACGGTATTGACTGATGAATTACTTAAAGGCCAATTTAAGACAAAAGTAAGAAAAGGGAGTCCGCAAGTCGTTTTGTTATTCCATACGTCTCCGTGAAGTCGACAAACCGGTGCTGGCTGGAATACCATAAAATCGCCGAACTGTGATGAAGCACCACACCTCAACCTTGGCACAATCCTTTATGTGCGAATTCAGATCAGGGGTAAAAGAATCCTTAAGAAAAACAACCACACCATATCCACGGATTGAATGATGATAAGTGGGCGAAGCTCGAGGTAAGGAGATCATCGGTAAACTGTAGCTCTCCAATGAAATGTTAGCCCATTAAAACTTTAGAGAGACGTAAAACTGTGCGTATATTATACAAATTAATTGTTATTTCGTTGCTGTTCGCTTGTCGTTTGGTTTCCGCGTTTATTTTTTTTTCCATTTATACGTTCACGTGGCGGCTGTATTGCGAGGTCCCATCATTTTTACGGCTTTATAATTCATGAAACAAAGTGAAAGAAGTTTTTGTACTGGCTGCAGTGGGAAGCTTGCTAAAACTAAGTTTATGCACGTCCCTCGGATCGTTGTAGGTTGCATGTGGAATCATTTGAGTGCGTATTTCGAACACAGTGCTGCACGATGCAGTCATTGGTAATGAGGTCCATCCGTTCGCGGGTCCATCCGTGCATTCATGCGTTCGTCCGTGCATGCGTGCGTCTGTCTGTCTGTCTGTCTGTCTGCCTGTCCGTCCGTCCGTCCATCCGTCCGTACGTCTGTCTGTCTGTCTGTCTGTCTGTCCCCCTGTCTGTCTGTCTGTCTGTCTGTCTGTCTGTCTGTCTGTCTGTCTGTCTGTCTGTCTGTCTGTCTGTCTGTCTGCCTGTCCCTCTGTCCCCCTGTCTGTCTGTCTGTCTGTCTGTCCGTCTGTCTGCTGTCTGTCCGTCTGTCTGTCGGTCTGTCTGTCTGTCCCTCTGTCCCTCTGTCTGTCCCTCTGTCTGTCTGTCCCTCTGTCTGTCTGTCTGTCCGTACGTCCGTCCGTCCGTCCGTCCGTCTGTCTGTCTGTCTGTCTGTCTGTCTGTCTGTCTGTCTGTCTGTCTGTCTGTCTGTCTGTCTGTCTGTCTGTCTGTCTGTCTGTCTGTCTGTCTGTCTGTCTGTCTGGAACTCAGAATTGAGCCACCAGCTGCGTGAATCATACAACTAGGTGGTTACAAACCGGTCACAAAAATACACCATTGACAGACCTACGGCATTGGTAGCTTCGCCTCTGAAACTTTCCAGCTGTGCTACAATGCCTGCCCTGCCAGCATTGCACGGACGCGCCATGTTGCGCCAAGGTGATCCTTGCATGGAATGGTCTTTAATTGTGAGTCTCTTTAGGCGTGTGTACCGTAACATAACATGCAAAAATAAATGAAGCGTCATGGTTGCAATCAAAAATGTCGAAATAAAACTCTCGCAGTCGTCTGGGCAATACTGGTCTACACAATTCGTCAGCGCTCATGTGACTTGAATGTTTGTGTGAATTCTCATGTCTTTTTATGTTATTTCAGCAAATTTTAACGCGTTCGCGGTGATATGTCTGTATATATGTGTATGTGTAGCGTATATGTATACGGTGATATTCATTTGTTTATAAACACAAGTATTCGTGGTCACCGTTCAAAGCACAAGTATTCGTGACAGCGCGAGGTATTGAACTCACGCTGTCGGGAGTGGTTGACTTTGCAGTAGAATTTTTTATGTGCTCAAAATAAGCGTTAAGCAAATAGCAACCATTAAAACTAATCGCAAAGCTAGCCTGATCGTGGGGTTATTTCATTTTCTTTCGTTTTATTACCTTCCAAGCCCAGCAGACATGACATACGTGCGGTAAGTTTTATTCAATTCAATTCGATTAAATGTTCATTTGTTTTTCAATAAAGAATGTGGAGTTGTCACAAAAAGCTACCACAGGAGCACCTTGACGAGGTGGCAGCCTTCTTAGATTGGCAGCAACAGACAATGCGTAGAACAAATAAATCATAAAAAAAACTGCCAGGCCAGCACGGAACACGTAGTACAGTCACAGTGAAAGCTGGTAGGGCAGCATTTCAGAGCCTTTTCTAAACACTCTTTGGGTAACTGCTACAAGCACACTTGCTGGGCTACCCACTAAACCACCAACAAGCATAATTTTGTGTAGTATAGGCCGGCATTTACTATGGTATCTTTCCTCATTCTTCGGAGAAGCGTGGTGTCTGCTACACACTTGCAAGGAATTTTGTGCAAATTAAATATTTTATGCTGTGGCTGATGACGATGAAAACTTATTCGTGAAGTGGGTATGTGCGACATTTAACAGGTGATCAAGAACAAGCTTCTGTAATGCCTTTGGGCATCGGACGACCCCCTAGTTAAGCAATTCGCATTGCGTGACGCCTGGTTGCTCCTTTGCTGGTCTAAAACGCGTTATTACTATTACTATAGAGCAATTGTTTTCCCGACATCAAGCCTGCCTAAGGCAAGCTTGCAAAAAAAGTTATAGCAGTGGCGTGATTCTGTGGTAGAACTCTGGGTTGTCATGCGAGAGACCCGGGTTCAAATCCCGCTGTGATACTTGGTCTTTTCATTTACTACGTTTTTCATCCTATTTCACGCGATAGTGGTTACAGACACCAGTGACGCTAGTGGCAGACTACTACGGTACAGCACGCGGTGCTTGTTGAGATCGCATAACTGCTTTTGCTGTAAACGAAACAGATTGAACAACGTATGCAATCGCTGAATGACATGCACCACTGTAGACCATTCACATTACAAGATTTACCAGAAAGTTTTCATAGGAGAAAACTTTTCTTAGGTAAATTAACAATGGTGAAATAAGGCTACATTTAAAAACCATTGTGAACATATATTATTAAGAACACCAAACTAAAATAATAAGAACGATGTTGGGTGCTCTTTATGTCAACGTATCATGAGGCCTCTTTAGTAGAATGTTTGGAGTTCTAACGTCTTCTTTTTGTTGTTGTAACAGGGTTATCAGTGATGGTGGTTCGTAACACAGCATTTGCTTGCCACAGTTCAAACGACGTTCTGGTACTTCCCACTGCTTTTTACTACATACGTTCATTAAAGATTTGTAAGTAATAGTGACCTTTATTAAATGTTCTCAATTAATCATTTTGTATTTGAAATGTAACGAGCTTAGGAGCTACAGGATTGCCCTTAAGCGAAGGTGTCGTATCCTGATGCTCATGCTGATAGTGTCCAGTGTTTGGAAATAGACAGTGTGAAGAAAACTAGTCCCAACCATTGCTTTCGAAACATTTAAGGTGTCCAAAAAGTATCTTATATTTCTATGGTACCCAACATTTACCTTATTTTTAAAGAATTTGAGATGTTACTCTTCCGCCACTCATACAAGTTTTCTGAAATATATCATTGATCACCATCGTCACTATCAGCCTGAGTAATTAACTTCAGAGTTCTGCCATATTGTTCCCTTTACCCGGTTCTTGTGCTTGCCGCGGGTATATCATACCCCCTAACTTCTTAGTTTCACCTCTTCAGTAAACTTTCTGATCTCAATATTCCTGTCCCATTATTCAACCTGTAAAGCTGCCCATACGCTAAAACACAAACGGGCCCTGAGCTGTCCCGCAGCAGTGGAATTTATTACCTTAGAACTCCAATGTAAACGGGCGAGATCTTACAACTGCAGCCATCCCTTGAAAATGTGTGAATGAATTTCTCATTGCACTGCGAACGGAGTATAAGCAGTGATTTCACTTTGAATGCAAAAAAAAAGAGAAAACCTTTGGGGTCAATGGCAACAACCCTTACGCTCTAGACGCTGAAAAGCGTATTCCAGGAGTTACTATGCAGAGTGGCCGTCTATTCTCAAAAAGCATCGGATAGAGTGAAATGCATTCGCGCTATGCCTGTAAAGATAGAGTGAAATTGTTTTATATTCTACCTACCCGAGAGAGAGGAATGCCCGCATACTCTTCAGGCATGACATAGTAAAACGTGGTTATCTTCCTGCTCTTGATCTATAGATCAATGTGCCGGAACACCACGATTAATTAGACCTACCTAATATTTACACATCTATGCAATAAAATGTAGTGAATTTTTTGTTGTGGCGTCGGAGACTAGTAAGAAAAAAAAACGTGGTTTCTTACATTTTTCATTTAACTTGACTGCCCTATAAGGCACTTGAATCTCCTAATATCGGTGCTTTAGGGGCAAACCTCCTTAAGGCGGGGATCGTGCGTCCCATGTATGTAGTAGCCATCTTCCGTTTTACTCCTTGGAAGTACGCTGGATGGTGGTACTTGTATAGGATAAATATTTGATGAAAAGATGCGAGAAAACGGTACTTGTAGTGCTCACTATATGAATGGATGGATGGATGGACGGACATACATGCATACGGACAGACTGACATGACGACGGACGGACAGATGCACAGATGGATGAATGGACGGACAGACAGACTGACAGATGACAGATGGGCGGATGGACACACAGACGAGTGAATGGACGGATAGACATACAAACATACTGGCAGACGGACAAACAGACCGACACAGAGAAAGACGGGCGGACAGACAGACAGACAGACAGAAGGATGGGCGTGGCCAGTGGATGATTCACGGTATACGGATACAACCCTTCAAAGCTTCACCTACTTATCATTCACTCCGGGGACATGCTGTAATTTTAGCGGCTTATTAAAGACCATAGTTTTTCTTCAGTACCTTGAACAAAAAAATTTTGATCTGTCTGTCTGTTTGTCTGTCTACATGTTTGTTTGTTTGCCCGCCTTTGACGATACCCTAAATGGCCCCAAACGATACCCCGAACCGCCAACCCCCTCCGCAGCACCCACCAATATTGCTCAAAATTCAGCGTTCGTACTTGGGAGATTGTCAACTGAAAAGCAATTATTGCACATATCTGAGGCACTATAAAAACGCGTCAATAGTCGGTATGAGTGCATTTTTACTAGAAAAGACATACATAGTAATTCCGTGGACCGTAGTGTTTATCACGCTCGCTGCGCTGACAATGCAACGCTTGCACGAAAGGTAAGTGTTTCCAACGCTTTGCTACGATGGCATAAGGGTGGCACCTACCAGTCACCTTGCGTTATACACCTTATCACTTCCGAGACGGGCGAACAAAACGCTTGCTTCGTTTTCCAAGATAACTGCCAGATAGCGCTCATGCCTTACGTCTGACGTGACTTGATGCGTTCGTTCGGCTCCACTGCAAGTTCGATTCACTTTAACGCAGCACCTACGGAATACTATTCACCAATTTTCTCACACAGAACGCCAAATAAACGTTTTATTCACTCTCTCTAGATGCAAGACTATCGTTTTTTGATGACATTTGCAGTGTAACATGCATATGCCAGGCCCATTTTTTTCGGTAGTTAAGCGTCTCTCATATTCATATGATGGTTTTGGAACGCTGAACCCCACATATCAATTAATTATTTTTTTAGTTAAATATGCGAATATAACCTCATTGGATTGCTCACTATTGAAACTAAATTCAAATGGTTATTGTTTTTTTTAAATATTAATAATGTTTCTTGCTGTGTACGTCACGCACCGGGAACGCTGCCGTAAGCCTAATCTGCAATAAAGCTACCGTGAAGTATTATGGCTGTAGTCGCAGGACGCGAAGAAGAATCAACGAAAATATACACAAGGAGGTGACGAAAACCGAATTGTTCAGTGTGAAGTTCAGAAGTACGATGTTTCCTACACAAAAGTGACTAAGCGCTTATACCGAGTCTGTACGAATGCCGTTCAAATAAATAATTTCCCTGTTCTTGTTTTTCTCACTGTAGAACGTGTGAGATGGCCTCCGAAGGCCACGTCGTGAGTGTTTCACTGGAACGCACCAGCCTAGATACTGCAAGGACTTGTCACTCTGCATATTCGTAGGTGAAGTGTGTAAAGGTGGCTGTGTGGTCACTAAACCAGGGGCTTATCCTGTTGTGTATAGCTGAGGAAAAATCTCATGTAGTCTTTCATATGTGGGGGGTATATGTTTGTTTGAAGGCGGCGCCAGTCCCTGGCTTGCTGGCTGCTTATAAGTTGGGATGCGGAGGGGCGTACTTACGTATTGTAAGGCGTTGGTTTTTCAAGATATGCCTACTTGTTGTGTTGTGTTCTTCATGGGGGTTTGAGAAGGGCCCCGAGGAAAGTTCTGCGCCTCGACCAGTAAGTCCGCGAGCTACTCAGTTTGCCTCCCCGTTACCTTTCAGGCCCGCATGTCCTTGGCACCAGGCGACGCCGTGTGCTTCCGTAAACGTGGGCCCCAAAATATGAATGACACATCTGGGAAGTGTGTCTTTGAGATACAAATGACAGGCAGCTTGTGAGTCTGTCAACATATACGCTGAGCGTCCCTCTTTTCTGCCTCTCTGATTGCCAAGGCTATAGCTGATGCTTCTGCGGTGGCGCTGGATCTCGTGCGTATAGACATGCAGACCACAACTTTATTTTTCCTAGTCATTGCCGCTAAATATGCGTGTTTTCTGGGATCTTGAGATATCATTGCGTAAAGACTAGCTTCGATAAAGTAGGTGGACGCCGTATGAAACATGATAATTATGACATGCGTGTCAAGTAAAATATGACCACATGCTACGCTAATGGTGTGTACGTGGCCGTTTCGCTAGCTTCACATATACCATATTTGGTAATACGTGACTTCAACGGACGACAAACACAAATGTCAGGCGCAAACATGATAATCATGACATGGAAGTGATGTACGGCTATAATTTACGTCTGCCTCGTAACGTTGTGCTCAATTTAAAGTGACATATCAGCCTTCCTCTTTCGTGCTTCGCATATCGTCGATTCTCCACTGTACAAGGAATCTGCCAATTTTAATCGCAAAACCGAAATAGCAGTTTGTGCCTGAAATGAAACTTCCGCATAAAACCTATGTTTGATGGTAATTTTTTGACATGCGTGCTGAAGCTAATCATAGATTCGAATGTAGTTCTAAAAACTAGTATCACTTAGCCCAATGTTTTGCTCTGCCAGCAAGGACCCCACCCCCATGTTACAGCGGCCCTGTGTTGTGTCGGCTTCTTCAACTTCGCCCTTTTCTTGGCAATGTAACCAATTCCTTGTCTAGTTGAGCTACATGAGCCTCTGCCCCTATTGCTGTTGATACAATTAGGCTGCTTCGGTACACTGGCAGGAATTACAGCATGTATGTGCCAACTCACCGAAAAAGAAGTCGTCTTGGCGAGATTTGAGCGTAGATACTAAAGGTGCCCATGTGGAGAGACAACGTGTTAATTGATTTGTGGGGTTTAACGTCCCAAAACCACGATATGATTATGAGAGACGACGTAGTGGAGGGCTCCGGAAATTTTTACCACCTGGGGTTCTTTAACAAGCACCCAAATCTGAGCACACGGGCCTACAACATTTCCGCCTCCATCCATCGAAAATGCAGCCGCCGCAGCCGGGTTTCTAACCCGCGCCCTGCGGGTCAGCAGCCGAGTACCTTAGCCACTAGACCACCGCGGCGGGGCGAGAGACAACGTGTATACTGCATACAATAATTTATAGAGAGAGGACGATAAAGGAATCTTGAATTACCTACAAGGTAGTGTACGGGTGATACACAACTAAAGCACCTCTTGTTCTTTGCGTCATTCACCTAGACGGACTGAAACGTCAATTTGACATTCTTTGAAAAAGATGTTTTGAGAGCGTAGTTTCGAAGCACACTTCCCAAAAGCATGAAGGATGCTTGTAGCCCTAGACTTGAACAGTGGAACGCTACAGCATTGGGACGCCATTATCATCGCCTTGTGATTCACTGGTCATGCTTCGCTTCTCGGTAGGCTACTCAACTCTGCCACTGTCACGGTCCGCTCTTAAAAACATGCTGTCCTTGTCAATGAGAAATTTTGTGTAGCACACCCCGCTCTAGTAGATGGTCTGTATTCTGTCACACGTGTGCTAAGATGATCGTAGAAATAGGCAAAGAACACGCGATACCTTTACAAAGCAGCTATATACTCCCTTGGCGCATGTAAGTGAACACGTGCGTCTGCGTAGCTGCGCGCTTTATTGACTCCGTAGATAAGAATGGTGATTACCGCGAACCACTTTGTAAAGAGTGGAGAGCTTAGAATTGCCCCTCTCTCACATATCACGATTGGTGTTTTCGCGCTTCTGCTTCTCAGTATTGATGGAATGTACCTGACTCCTTGCAAGGCATGGCGGTTGTGTTATTGATGCTTGCTACTACATCGGCCTTTTTCTGAAGCAATTTCAATGTTATGGCTATGGGCTTGCATAATTGACTACCACGTTGAATTGATGAACTACGTTCTTGCTTCCCACCTGAGCTTTATGCTATGTAATGAATTTTGATTCACGAAGAACGCCACCTATACGACGTTTTTGGCGACAATCACTTTTTTGCCCTGGCACAATATTATGGGCTATGGCAAGCAGACACGAAGTGCTTAGAAAATGATTATTGGTTCATGCTTCACAGAATGCTTTCAGTGTAGGAGTCGCAAGGCGGCTCACAAAAAGGCCAGGACATGGCGATCTGACCAAGCCACTGTCGCAATTTATTCATGCATTGTCACAGTGGTACACTACAGCAGCATGTCTCGAATCCGATCATTTACGGAATAAATTGGCCTAGCGAACAGACAAAAGGCTAAATATTGTTACCACTAATTGTGCACATGAAGACCTTTTTCAAGACCACTGACAGTATTTAGGCGTAGTTAGTTTGATTTGAGCGTTATTTGCTACATAACATAGCTTGCTACTTAGGTTGATTTTAAGGTCACAGTGTGAACAGGTCAATTCGATAGTCAAGCGCTGTGGTCATTAAAATGCTTAAAAAAACAAGGAGTACGGACAGACTAAGCTTCCTTCGTAATTTTACACCGGCAAGGCAAGTGAAATGGTACGTTCCCTTGCTTAATTTGGATGTAAGAATTGGGTCCTCTTTGCAGTACTTGCCTGATGCACTTAATACGAGGCCACTGCACAGTTTTAATCGCTTCAAATTTTTAAATGTCCGTACTTGTGATATCGGGCATGCCGCTTGATTTTACCTCATTTCCATAATAACAAGGAGGCGCCTTGGTTCAAAAAAACTATCGGTTAGCGCAGGCGCATTGAGATAAAGACATGAACACACTACTGCTAGTCACTTAGGTCGGTCGGTTGGTCAACAAACTTCATTCAGGTACTAAGACATTACATACATAAAGTAATACATGAAAAGTTAAGAGAGGATACTCCCATAGGCCCCCTCAGCTGGTTTCGGTTCGCAGTGCACCTAACGGGCTGGCGGAAGCTTTGCAGCCTAAGTAGGAAACAAGCGTAGATCAGGACGCCCGCAGGGATCGTTATCCCACGCAATTTATTGCCGTCTCGCTTCTGCTGTACATACGCGTGACAACGTTGCCGTCATGTTGACGCGACAGTCAAGATGAAGAAGTAATAGACGTTATTAAGACCCTCATGAAGGCTATTCGAGTACTCCTGAATAATATTCAGACTCCAGCTGCTCACAGCGCTTTTCACATATTGGACGCTTTGAAAGCGGGGAAATCGAGTAGAGAGAAGCACCAAGGCTCTTTTTCTGTAGCCTTTTCGTAAACAAGTGAAAGAGGCATCAATTTTCACATGGAATGACCGAAGCCTTAAACCCCGCATTTCAGATTTTCGGCATTTTGTATTCAAGAATGAGTTTCTAAATATCGTTCTTTGTGAACCATGCCTTCACAATGCTATACGTATATTCAAATACGTAGTGAAGCAATTCTTAAAGGTCCAGTCGGTACAATATACTGAGGGGGACAGCGCAAAAAATGGAACGGAGCGCTTGTGTCGTGTGCTCAATCTTTCTCAATCCTGTTTTTTACGCTGTTCCCCTCAGTATCAAATACGAAGCTTTAAAATCTCCAACCTGTAACAAAAGCAGTAAGGTCATTGTTTACATAAGGTGCGAACTCACATACATTGAGCATCCAGTAACACCGAATGACAGCAACCAATACGTGTGCCTGACAGTCAAGCATAAGAACGTGAATTTCACGCCAGTGGCACTATATTTCGCCTTCAGGCCACTTTAACTCTGCAAGATTAAGTGTCATTTATGAGCGACACCTGGGCTGTGGATTATTACTGGTGATTTTAACGCTCAATACCCGCTGTGGGGAAGCCAGAAGATGGACCATCGGGCAAGACACGTGTCGCTCTTTGCAACTGACCACCAACTATATGGTTATATGACGGTACTTCTACGTTTTTAAGGGGTCTGACGTATAGTAGCTGTCTTGACCTAACCTTTGTGTGAAGTAGCCTAAGTACTAAGGTGCAGTGCTTTGCGGAAAACGCAACTCATGGCAGTGAACACATCTCCACCTATGTAAAGATCGAGGAGCTAAGCAAGTCATAGATCGCGTCTTCTTCACGGATCGACTGGTCAAAGTACAGGTCATCCACAGAGAAGCATTGCGAGAAAATCAAGAAGGTTTTCTTGAAAGCCTTGAAGATATAATGAAAGCCGCTATCCAAGAAGCAACGTTTAATTGCGGACCTTTGTCAAACTTTCGCGAAATGAAGTGGAGTTGGAGTGAGTTAGAACAATCCGTCGTCACGCCGAACGACGCTTTAGGCGCACGAAATTCATCTACGACTTAAGGGAGGTGAGACGTCTACAAAAGAAGATTCAGCGTCGAATAAATGCACTACATTCGCCACGATGGAAGTCATTATGCAAGTTCTTCGATCTTCACAAACCTCTTTCGCAAATATGGAGAATAATCTGTGGCCTGCGAACATTGCTACAATGATATCGCCCGTTCAAATGCCTTGCTCTCCACCAAAGCCGACATAAAATCGATGTAGCAGAAGGTTTGTGCGCCAGGGTTGCCAACATACGGTCCGGGATCACTGTGAGTAACCTACGAATGGCGCTGATGTCCAGAGACAGTCAGATGGACATCATGTTTTCTGTAGAGGAGCTTAGGCAGCATTAACAGCATGCAAGCACTCGTCATGTCCTGAACCCGATGGAGTCACTTACATGGCCCTTGCTAACCTAGGACAAACAGCTCGGCGTGCTCTTCTAGCTGTATGCAATGATTCGACGAGCAATGGTTTAGTTCCCTCTTCGTGAAAGTGCAGCCACCTTGTGCCCTTGCCCAAACCAGGCAAATCACCTCTGGACATCACCTCCTATCACCCCGTCGTGCCTGCCAGATGTTTTGAAAAGGTGACAGAGAGAATGGAGCTGACTCACCTATAGTGGCATCTGGAACATAACAATATATGCCCCGATGCTTTGACCAGCTTTCTACGTGGACGGTCTCTCATAGACAATGTTGTTGACCTTGTCACGTCTGTACAACAGGAGAAAAGCCTAAAGAGATTATCAGCGGCACTGTTCTTGGATATTAAGGGTGTATATGACAATGTATTGTATGAAAGCATTCTCGACGCCTTTGGGCAACATTGTATTGGGAGGCTGGGTTTACCAATGGATCTACAGTTATTTGAAGGACAGAACCTTCTTTGTTCCGACAGAAGGTGGTGCTACAAGGCACCATTATACTTATCTTGTCCCTCAAGGTGGGGTCCTAAGCCCCATACTTTTCAACCTTGTGCTCATTGGCATCGTTGACATCCTGCCGCGCTCCATACATATCTCGATCTATGCAGACGACATCTGCATCTGCACACCAGGGGTCACGCGTCGTCAACACGTACGAGTACGAGCCAGGCTTCAGAAGCGGCTACACTGACGTCAAACTAGCCGCAAGGACGAGGACTGGAGCTGCCATCTGAGAAATTCTCACTGATTGCGTATACGCGCAAGGCAATGACCACATACGTCATCAGAATTATTGGACACACAATCAGCTATCAAAAAAACCCACCATTTCCTCGAAGTAATAACACATCATGACTTGTCCTGGAGCCCTCACATCGCTCACATGAAAAAGAAATTCACCATGATCACCCGTGTCTTAAGGTTTCTTGCGGAAAAATTATGTGGTGCATCGGTACGAGCCATGCTTCAACTGTATATCGCACTTTTCTTCGGCTTCATGCGCTACAGCCCACCCGTGCTCGGCAAGACCCGAATAACGAACGTACGTGACATCCAGTCAATACAAGCTCAAGCACTGAGAATATGCCTCAGGCTCCTGAGATGCGCATCCTCAGCAGCGACTGTCGCAATCGCTCAAGAATACCCTATCACAACCTACATTCGTGTCGATCCTTCAAGAACGCACATAAGACATGCCACCCGAGTTCAATCACATCACCTCGCTTCCTTCCAACTTCCAGGACACGCTTTGCGTTCTGCACTAATATTACTCCACATCACGCACTAATTCCCGTGAACTTCACGCACGCAGCAAGATCGTCGTTATCATTGTGGTGTCTACATCCACTGGAAGACGTCACTACTATCGCCAGAATTCAAAAGAAGAAAAAATTTGTCAAATTTACCCCTAAAACAAACAACATTACTTCTTATGCATGAGAAACACAGTGAATGCATTCACATTTACACGGATAGGTCGGTTGCTTCAGCAAGCTCAACAGGCGCAGTGGTAATTCTGGAGAAACCTCTCACAATAAAGTTCAGGACATCGCATGTGACATCATTCATGGCTACAAAATTCGCTGCCATTCGTGCCGCCCTGGAGTTCCTAGTTGAAAAACCAGCAGCAGGCATTGTCAATATTCTCCGACTCCATAGCAGCCCTCCAGGGCATTGCCTCGCCATATTGTCATGGACCAAATGAACAGCTAGTCGCTGAAATAAGACTGCTTCATCCCCAGGCTATAGAGAAACAACATGACATGGCGTATCAATAGATACCGGGCCACTGCAGCATTGATGGAAACAGCCGCTCAGACGAAGCAGCCCCATCTGCTCATGATTATGCCCCTTGTGGCAGCTATACCAATATTAAAAACGGACGCTGCTACAAGGCTTCGATCACTTGCACGAAAACTGACACTCGCTCAGTAAGATTCACCGGCAATCACCAACGTCTGCCTTCGAAAATAGGACCCACACCAACAGCTCTGTCTTCCATCAGGGATAAGCAGTGCTGAGGAGACACTTTTGTGCCGTCTGTGGATTGGGGTGGCCTTCACAAATGCTTATTCATTTCGAAGCAGAATGGCCAGCAGCCCGACATGCGACAATTGTGGCAGCGTGGATGCATTCTCCCATCTGCTCTGCGAGTTTCCTTGCTTTAGTGCGCCAAGAAAAGAACTATCGAAAGTTTTAGAAAGACTAGACAATGGCCAATTGTCGGAAGAAAGGGTATTAGGACTCTGGCCGAGACCCTCCTCGGCACGACAGGCAATGAGAGTGTTGCTGCGCTTCTTGCGGGCAATTGGTCTTAAAGACAGGCTGTAAGAAGCAGTCGTGTATCGTTCTGCCGTCCTCCCCCTTTTTTCTCTTCATCAACGTCTATTTCCTCTCATCTTTTATTCCCCTTACTGCCTTCCCAGCACAGAATAGCCAGCCGGTCTAATATCTGGCTAACCTCCTTGTATTTCCTCCTTCAATCCTCTTCCTCCTCTCTTGCATTTAATTAATCTCTTAAAATCAGTACAACGCAAGCAAGCGCGATATATAATTATTTTTAACCAACCAAAAGGAAACAGCACAAGCGGAGTGACACCCACCTACGGGCGACAAAACTGTTGGGGTCAGATGCTGAACATGACCACGATTAGGGGATATTTCCACGTAGTGCAAGCTCTCGTCGACAACAGAGGTGGCCTACCGTAACTGAATCAGAAGTAGGCTGAAGAAACCTTATTCGACGAAAAAGCTATTTATGAAAACGGACCAAAAGTTTGAAATATCAGAGGCATACTTGAACAGTCTGGCAAAGCTACAATACTGCACTACAAACCACATGGCTTCCCACAGCGTTTAATAAGTAACAATAAGATCCCAAGTGTATTATGGGCGATGTTCCATTGTCCTGGGAGCCTACACGATTTGCAGTGTGATACTGCAAAATTACCAAAATGTACCAGTGGGTCTCTGCTACGTAGCACCATGAGTTATTTTTAATAATTAGTTATTTTCAAAACAAATGTTTTTTTTTCGCCTATTTGTCATTCAGTTATGGCAGGCAGCTTTTTCCTGCTGCATAGAGATTGCGCCACGTCCAGATGTTCTCAGTTTCTGGAAATTATTCGGCGCTGAAACCTAGTTGAAAAAGAAGATATCAAGTGCTATCAGCATGTGTAATTTGGGATGCTGAATAGCATTCAAGAAACTTTATATCTACGTTGAAACAGTATCGAAGATAAGAAATTTGCAAAATCAAGGTGACGCATAGGGCTAGATGATTTTGCATGAGTGCACTTTTCGTTTCTATTTCATAATGTGGGTCCTCTCCGACTCCTTATGCCCCAGTAACTGTAACGCAGTATTTTATTCATATTTGGGCAAAGTTGTGGGCAAGTTAAAGCAGCACTTGTACAGCCGCGACCACGTCTGTGTATAGCGCTTGAGCGGCCTGCTTTGCTCTGCGGAGCGACGCCTTTGCGGCCCTTGCGTGTTGTGACGTCGCATGTACAGGAGCATGTGTGGCCTTACAGACATGCAGGCATGCTCTACACGGGTGAGAACGGTGGATGGTGCGCTTGTTTAGCCGAAGATCCGTGCTTCCTCACGGCGCTTTCGTCACATATACCTCATAAAATGGAGTGTGTTTCAACTGACAAAACGCGCCTGCATCAACGATGCACGCTTTGTGGTCAGTTTGAGGCATACAATTATAAGAAGATGTGATAATGCCAACAGCTGCGTGAAAAAAAAAATACAGGCGGTCACAAAGAGTACGCTGTTTATGCACGCGTGTGGGATCAGTCGAAACGCGCTTCGTTTTATGAAAGAGTTATGACGAAAGCGCCCTAAGTGAACGCAGATCTTCGGTTCAACAAGCACGCACTCTAACGTTCTCACCTGTGCTGAGCCCACCTACGTGTTTGTAAAGCCGCGCATGCTCCTTTGCACGTGACGTCACAACCCTCAACGGCCGGCTAGGTGTCGCACCACAGAGGAAGGCCGGCTGCTCGCTGCTATACACAGACGTGGCCGCGGCTGTACATGTAATAAATGCGAAGCATTTGTTAGTCAACTTCGGCGACTTCGAGCGTATCTATCTATCTATCTATCTATCTATCTATCTATCGATCTATCTATCTATCTATCTATCTATCTATCTATCTATCTATCTATCTATCTATCTATCTATCTGGCCACTTACGTTTTGGTACTCTTGTGGCCACCGCCTTAACTTGTCGTGAACCAAAATTAACATGAGAAGGTAATATCATTTGACGAATATAACGCGCTGCTCCAGACATGAATGATGTCACAATCACGTCGCGCAAGTCATCAATCACTTCTCGTCAGACAGTGGCACATACTCATGTGCGGGTATGTGCCGTTGGTATGCAGGAGTGTTCCACAGGTAATCGACACTTGGCATACCTAGGAACGACTAGAACACACATGGGCAATTTTAATGCGCGAGTGTTAAGAATTACCCAAATTCGGTGGCATCAACCCGACGAATGCAAAGAATAGATGTCAGGGTCCCAGCTGGAATTGAACCCAAGCACTCTGCGTGGCAATTAAGCATTTTACCACAAAGCTACGCCAGGCCTCGGAACTGCTTTTCAAATAGACGCTAATCTTCGTGAAACGTCAAAAGAAGTGGTTGGAGTGCTGCCTACCCAATTTTATGAACATTACAAATGTACTCTTTTGATACTGTCATCGGATCGGAAATAATGTCACTGGTGGTTAGTTGTCATGCGCTGAGGTTGATTTATGTAGCAGCGTCCCGGCCAGCATCCTCGCGAACATCAGCGCCGCTTCATGTCAGCTTTTTGTGTTGCTAGTATGCCATATTCCAGTTGGCATCGTTGCGCCAGCACTAACAACTGGTTATATCAATATCTGCAACTCTTCAAATTATAGCTGTGCATGCAATACTTATAGTTATATTTAGCGTCATTTCATTACGTGTCGCTCAATAAGAAAAATTGTAACACGGTCACATTGTAACACGGTTTCCATAACGTCGATTTCCAAGTGCGTGGGATCTGCCAAATATTTTCCTAATTTGAGAGTTCTAAATTTATGTGCTTGTCTTGAAGTGAATCATTAGCTGTGAATAGTTAAAACAAACGTGGAATAATAAAAAGCAGTCAACCACACTCTACGAACTCAAAGCGTATCAAAACATCGACAAAAAAGCTTTTCAAAAATTATGAGAACCTTGCTGGAATATGTATATCTCGGACAAATAATAACAAGACAGCTCAACCGGGAACAAAAGAGTTTACGGAAGGGTCAGAATCGCTGAGAGTGCGTTTATCAGGTACCCCAAAATAATTAGAAGAAATCAGGCACAATTATCAAAGCGCAAAGTACATTATTGTACATATATGCATTTAAAAATTACGGGGCTTAAACTAGAAAGATAACCTTGCCGATGGAGAAAAATAGGTTAAGCCAGTTAGGCATAGTACAAAGAACTAGGGGAGAGTAAGAGAATAATGGTTACCAAAGCTGACCCAAACGAGGGTAGGAAGGCGGAGAGTTAGATGAAAAGCCGAAATTAGCAGGTTTGTAGGAATAAAAAATAGGCAGCTGACAAAGCCATCGAGAAACTTGCAGTGGCCTTCATTCTGCGGTAAGCTAAAACAGGCTGTGAAGGATGATAATGACCAGGATCGTGTGTAACAAGAAAGTTTGATGATACTTAAAACTTATAATAAGCGTAAACAAACATCGAAAACTAGCCTCAGTGATTCGGTGTTGCTGCTGCTCTCGTGGCAAAACAAAAATGAAAATAAATTGCGATACAATATTGCATATATGGTTTTGACTACTTTTATTCGTTTCTGGCATCCAGATGGAAGATTATGCCTAGCTCTTGTCGTCTTCTTCAAGTACGTTAGAAATTGGTGGTTTCTGAAAATAAACAGAAAGATAATAAGATAAATCACTTGAGTGCTCAAGTTTTCTTGCTTTCTCTTAAATTAGGCCAGTCTTGCCTGCAACATTTACTTTTGTAAACATATGACGCTTTCATTAGGTCATTCATTTAGTAATCATGTCCATTATAAACAAGGCTTTTAAAGTTATAAGTAAAAGTATGGTTCCTGAAGTTCACCCACTGACTGACGCAGAAATACATAAAAATTTTTATACTCACACTTCTTCTTGCGGAGAAGAAGAGTGTAATGAAACGGAGAGCCGAGACCGTAGCCGTAGTTCAGGCCATAGCTGAGTAGGCCATGGCCGTAGGCGTAGTTGCCAGTGCCATAGCCGAGCGTGCCAACATCATAGCCGTACACTGGGCTGGCATGGTAGGCCGTGACAGCTGGGGCAGTGGCGTAGGTGGCAACTGGAGTGGCAACAGCGGTGTCGACTGGGACACGGGCCACAGTGGCAAAAGCTGGGGCAGCAGCGTAGGTGGTGACTGGAGCGTGAGCCACGGTTGCGGTTTTGGTCACAGCAGGAACAGCGGCGTAGGTTGCGACGGGGGCAGCTGTGTACGTGGACACTGGAGCATGAGCCACGGTGTCCACCTTAGTCACAGCTGGGGCGGTGGCGTACGTGGCCCCCGGAGTGTGAGACACGGTGGTAACCTTGGTCACAGATGGAGCAGCAGCGTAGGTAGCGACTGGAACAGCAGCATGAGTGGGCACTGGAACATGAGCCACGGTGTCAACCTTGGTCACAGCTGGAGCAGCGCCATAGGTATTGACTGGGGCAGCAGCGTACGTGGCTACTGGTGCGTGAGCAACGGTGTCAACCTTGGTCACAGCTGGGGCAGTGGCGTAGGTGGCCACTGGAGCGTGAGCCACTGTGTCAACCTTGGTGACAGCTGGAGCAACGGCGTAGGTAGCGACTGGGGCAGCATAAGTAGCCACTGGAGCGTGAGCCACGGTGTCAACCTTGGTCACAGCTGGAGCAGCGGAATAAGTAGCGACTGGGGCAGCAGCATAGGTGGTCACTGGAGCGTGAGCCACGGTGGCAACCTTGGTCACAGCTGGAGTAGCGGCGTAGGTAGCCACTGGGGCAGCAGCATAGGTGGCCACTGGAGCGTGAGCCACGGTGTCAACCTTCGTCACAGCGGGAACGGTGGCATAGGTAGCCACTGGGGCAGCAGCGTAGGTGGCCACTGGAGCATGAGCCACGGTGGCAACCTTCGTCACAACAGGAGCAGCAGCGTAGGTAGTGACTGGGGCAGCAGCGTATTTGGCCACTGAAGCGTGAGCCACATTGGCAACCTTGACCACAGCGGGAGCAGCAGCGTAGGTGGCCACTGGAGCGTGAGCCACAGTGGCAACCTTGGTCACCGCTGGAGAAGCGGCGTACGTAGCGACTGGGGCAGTGGCATAGGTGGCCACTGGAGCGTGAGCGACAGTGTCAACTCTCGTTACAGCGGGAGCAGTGGCGTAGGTAGCGACTGGGGCAGCAGAGTAGGTGGCCATAGGAGCGTGAGCCACGGTGTCAACCCTGGTCACAGCTGGGGTAGCAGCGTAAGTGGCGACTGGAGTGTGGGCAACGGTGGCGACAGCTGGGGCAGTGTGAGCTACGGTTGTAACGGTTGGACTATTGTGAGTGCCAGTGACAGCTGGAACGTAGCCAAATCCATAGCCGTATCCAGGACCACCATAGCCAAGACCGTAGCTGAGGCCGTAGCCAGTGTGACCAGCGAAGGCACTGCTGGCAAGAACCACGAGGAGGCAAGCACGGATCTGAAACGTTTTCAGTATGTGTGTAAGCATGTACTTTTCAAGTGGATGAAAGACGCCCGTCTTGATTGATTGATTTGTGGGGTTTAACGTCCCAAAACCACCATTTGATTATGAGAGACGCCGCAGTGGAGGGCTCCGAAATTTTGACTACCTGGGTTTCTTTAACGTGCACCCAAATCTGAGTACACGGGCCTACAACATTTCCACCTCCATCGGAAATGCAGCCGCCACAGCCGGGATTTGATCCCGCGACCTGGGGGTCAGCAGCCGAGTTTCTTAGCCACTAGACCACCGTGGCGGGGCAACGCCCGTCTCTTAAAGCGCATACGATTGTGACCGTGTAAGACGAGCTCGGAGTGAAGCCCTGTCATTCTACGTAGATATGAATTAGTATACCCACAATGACACTGCTGTTATTATAGTTGTGTCTATAGGGATTAGGCTTCCAACATGACCTTATCAAAGGGCCATGTGAGATGAAACAGGTGCAATAATCCTATACAGAAAGCGACAGTCGCATGAGACGCTGAGTAAGAGAAAATCGCTATGAGTCGGTGGTTTTAATGTTACCAGCAGGGAGAGAAGGTGTCAGTCATGATTCATCAGCGTGATGCGCAACAGGATGAACAAATATACGGCTACACAGGTGAGCGTTGTCTTTCCTTAATTGAGGCAGTTCTTCGCTATGCAAAGGGGGTGATTATATGGTTGTGAAGACAACAAAAATTGACTAGCTAAACTCGCTCACGGGACCGATGAAGTCGTCCCAGATGGCCGTGAAGTGAATCAGCTGCTCTTTGCAATAGCGTTCATGACGGCACCCAGTGAAGCGGAAATCATGTTTACGCCATAATTTCTTATCAAGTAGTGGTAATTTTAAATGGTATATAAATAGCAATCGCTGGTCAAAGTGCGTATCCTACATGGAGTCTAAAAGAAGTTCGTAAGCCTGATTTTTCTTTTGAGAAGCTCGGCCCACTGGATGAGTTGGCAGCTAACCTCAACGGTGATGGGCGAAACAGCAATGACCCAGAGGGTCCTATCTTTCGAGCGGCTACTTTTCCGTACGTGCTGAGGGGGCTTGGAAGGAAGTTTACTTACCATGGTGACTTTCGAGCTGCTGTTGAGCCAACTGCTGAGTGAGATGGGGTCGGTCGGGCCTTTTATACCGAAAATCTTTGATGACACTATGCCCTCAGTGAATGCTAAAAATAGCAGTTTTCCGAAGAAAAATAAGGAAACAGAGCTAGTGCTCATATTGTCATTCAGTGCGTCTCCGTAAGGTTGCCAAACTGGAGTCGGCCGGCTGTAGCTTCGTACGTTCCTCGAAGAGTAATGAAGCACCGCGCCTCAATCTTGATAAAAACAACTATGGGATGTTTGAAAGCAGTGTGACAATAAAGAGAAAAAGAGAAGTGTACTTGGACTTTTTTCTTCTGCATTCAAGTAAAACCGATTGTACGTTCACAAAGAAAAGAATATGTGGGCCTCTAGGCACGTACGTATACACAAGGAGCTCATGGCGATGTCAGTAGTTAATATCTAAGTGAATTTAATAAAAGATATGCGTCTCATATGAAATAATTTCCAACGACAAAATTACGCAAGCACAATTCCTTAAATACATTTTTATACATGTACAGGTGGGTTTAAATGTATTCTCAAGGCGAAGTTCGAAAGAAAGACATTACGAGTTCATATAGCTTGTCATTCTATAGCAGCTGGGTATCACGTGCATATTAGAACCACTTGGTCTTAGAATTGAGCTCTTTTTTAGGCAGCTTTAATAAGTGGAACGTGAAATAAGGAAGCCTAATGTAAAGACATGGTCATATCTGCACTTATTTAATGCACATATGAGAGGTTATGTTTATCCGTCTACTGGAATGTGTCTAGTAGTTCGGTAGGCTCGCATTGTATACTGATATTGATACCTTGATTCACAGGCGTTCCTGCTCTGGCAGCAGGGGCGTAGGCACAAATATTTCTGGAAGAAGGAGGCGCCTCCATCATCGGAAGTGGACGCCGGGGGCAGGCAGATGTGGTGGAGTGTCATTTTAGGGTCTGTATTGTATGACGTTCAAAAAAAAACTTAACATAACATTCCGCTGAGTGGGGCAGGGTGGCGAGGACCCGGTGAGCTACCTTTCGGCTACGCCCCTGTCTGGCACTGTTTACAACATATTGAAGGAAAAGAGCCTACCGCGTTGCTTTACATGCATTTTATTTTCTTAAAAATTTCTTTATCTTACAACACAAGCGGCGCATTCATGTTTACGCGACAGATTTCTCTAACTATATCTCTATGTATACGCAATTTCTCTAGCTTTATCCTATGTTTAGTTAAAATGAATGCACTTTGATAATATCTATCTATCTATCTATCTATCTATCTATCTATCTATCTATCTATCTATCTATCTATCTATCTATCTATCTATCTATCTATCTATCTATCTATCTATCTATCTATCTATCTATCTATTAGCCACCTACGACTTTTAGCTCTCCTGAGTGTTTCGATATTGGTGTCGATACCAAACTTGGTATGGAATAGTGTGACTGTATAACGAGCATAAGTGACTAGTCATAGCATAGAAATCATGACTTGTCTATTATGGTTTACATTTTTTGGTCTTGCTTTTCTTGCGGTAGTTTCGTTCCGATGAAATATAGCTAAACTGGCATGGTATGACATGATTGCATGGTTAACACAAGCAAGAGACTCTGAAATGGGTGTCATGAAATCATGACAAGCGTGTCAAGGAACAACATTACTACATGCCACACTCATTTTGCTCTCGCTGCCGTTTCGCTAGGTCTACATATACTAAATTTGGTATCAATTGACATGAATAGATGACGAAGGTAAATAACATGTCCAAACATGATAATCACGATATTCGTGCCATGTAAAGCATGACTACATGCTACGCTCATAGCGTTCTCGTGGCTGTTTCACTAGTTTCACATATACCAAATTTGGTATTGCGTGACGTGAATCGACGACGAATGTAAATGACTGGCCCAAACATGACAATAATGATGTACGTGTCATTCAAAACGTGACTACATGCTACGCCCATAGCACGCTCGTGGCCGTTTTGCTACCTCAACATACACAGAACTTGGTATTACGGGATGTGAATAGACGACCAACGTAAATGACACGCCCAAACAAGATAACCATGGCAGGCGTGTCATGTAAAACTTGACTACATGCTACGCTCATAGCATGCTCGCGGATATTCCGCTTCCTCCACATATACCAAATTAAGTATCAGGGGACGTGAATAGGCGACAAAGGTAAAAGACTCGTTCGATTAAGATAACCATAATACGAAACTCATGTACGGCATAATTTACCTCCACCTCGTAACGTTGTGACGATTTTAAAATGACATATCAACCTTCCTCTATCGTGCTTCACATCATCCCCTACTGTACATGAAATATGCCAGACATCTGCCAGGATAAGACATATCGTGAACAAAGATGGCGTCAGGCCCGATCCTGCAAAGACTGAGCCTGCTGAAGCGCAAAATTGGTGAAAGAACTTCGGAGGTTCTTGGGGCTGTGCTCGTATATTGGGCGATTCATTCCTCCCTTTGCAGACGTCGCTTATCTTGACAAACCTCTTGCACAAGAACTGCCCATTCGAGTGAATGCCTGTTTATTCAGCTTCCTCTCAGGAGCTCTAAATTTCTTGCTGACGTCTCAGCTGATACTACAACACTTCAGTTCTACCGCGCCAACGGAGATCCACACAGATGCGAGCAGCCTCGCTCTTGGTGCCGTGTTGGTTCAACGCATGGGTAACAGAAAACACGCCATCGCCCATGGAATTCAGCGATTAGGTAAACCAGAACGTAGCTATGTGGTAACTGAACAGGAATGCTTCACGGTTATTTTCGCTGTTTAGTGGTTTCGGTCATACCTCTACGGGCGTCAGTACACGATCGTCACCGAGCACCACTCTAGCTGGCTCATCAATGTCCTGGATCCGTCAGGACACCTGGCACGATGGTCTCTGCGTCTGCTAGAGAACTTAATTTTTTTGTACAAGAATAGGCGACGACATGCTGACACTGATTGTCTTTCCAGGCTTCCCCTCCATACCACAGAATACGACGCTCACAGCTTACACCAGGTAATTGTAACCGTACAACAAGGTTTCTCTCACGCCGCAACCTTCGCGAGCCAGTGGAGTGATAATCGAACTCTAGAACCGCTCATCAGAGCTCCGAAAGGCTCACGAAACGGCTGTTTTTGTATACGGGATGGACTGCAATATTAGTAAAATTTTTCCGCTATGGCTGCATGCTATCTTCTGGTGGTGCCATAATCCCTCCTCTCTTCTGTTTTAAGTGTCATACATGATTATCCAGCTGCCGGTCACTTAGGATCTACGCGGGAACTCCATTGCGCAAAAAAAAATATATATTTCAGTGGCTCCAAATGCGGAAAGGAACAGACACATACATAGGCAGTTGTGCAGAGGGTCAAAGTCACAAAATACCTATCAACGTCCCCTTCAGTTCTCTTATGCCTGCAGCACTTCCCAGCTCACCTTTCGAACAAGTCGGCATCGACCTGATAGGGCCGTTTTCCAGTTAATTCATAGGTAACGGTTGGATCATGTGTGCGCCGGCTACCTCGACTACCTGCCTGTGCAGCTACCCTCTGCAACTACAGGTGACGGGTCACAGTTACTTATATATAATATAATACTTCATCATGGTCCCCCTCACGTAATAATTAGGGACTGTGGCCGATAGTTAATGGCTGATGTGGTTGAAGAACTTCTGCGTCTGTGTGCTTCCAATCTGCGACATGAAACCCGATATCACCCTTAGACCAGTGGTTTGACTGAATGCACTAATCGAACACTTGCGAACATGATATCCACAGTACGCAAGCTCAAACCATAAGAACTGGGACGAAGAGCTTGCGTTCGTCACACACGCTTATAGCACCACGCAATACGCAAGCACGGCATACAGCCCGATTTTTTTCTTTTTTATAAGCTTGTACAGCGAGAGACGCGTCAGATACGATCTTTTTTTTTCTAGTCATCACAATGTTTACCTTGCAGAAACTCTGTACAGGGTGGATGAAGCTCGACAACTCGGTAGATTGCGAACTCGGGCTTATCAAAAACGGTTGAAGTCACGGTACGATCGCAGACATCATCAAGTAGCTTACAAGCCAGGTGACATTGTGTCGTTATGGACTCCTGTACGTACACGTGCACAGTTCCAGAGGTTCCTCGTTCACTATGTTGTACCCTTTTGTCCTGAGCGTCTTAGTGAAGATAACTATTACATTGTACGCCTCACTGCCTTTGGGAGAAGGTTATTCAAGACTGACGTTACTCATGTATCAAACACCTTAAGCCGTTCACTCAGTGACTGCCCAGCTAATTTCTCGCCTGGAGGGCTTCGTGTGTGAGAATAACAATGTTACAGTTGGTTAAATATACTGAACTAACACCACCGACAGCAACTACAGAAGAATAAAGGGGAAACTACGCGCAGTACCGGCACGCACTTGCCGTCCGTTCCCTGTAAATAACCTCTGTTCAACGGCGTTTTCAAGTCTCGTAACACTACTGTTTTTGTGAGCTCCTAATGAACTGGTCCTTTCAATAGTTACACAAGAACTTCAAGCGTTAAACTAAAATTTGATTACGTGACATGGCAATGGGCGCTTTATAGAGATGAACTGCCGTATTTTGTTGTACGTAGTGGTATGCTGTCGTTGCTGCCTGCTGTAACGCTGCATATGGCATATTCAGCATGTGCTCCCGCCTTAGAAAAGTCTCTTTCTCTTGTTATTTGAGCACTTTGATGACGCCCCCCTAATATTACCAGCAAAAGATAACTAGTGACTTGGCAAAATGCCTGCAATATCACGAATAGAAAGGAAACAGAACCAGGAAGCAAGCACGAAATAGAAAGAGAGAGAGGACATCGACAGGTATAAAAATAGAAGAAGCAAGAAAAAGCCACACATAAACAAAGTGAGAAGAAGAAATAATTTGAAGTAAAGTGAGAAATATTCATGATATGTGGGGTTTAACGTCCCAAAACCACCATATGATTATGAGAGACGCATGAAGTGAGAAAAAACAAGAATGAAATTCAACAGCATAAAATGAAAGTAACAAAGGAAAGGAAAAAAAATGGCAGCATATCCTACGCAG